AACTATAGGTTCCGGCGGTTTCTTTTAAATTTTTTTTAATTAAAACGCCGGAACTATAGGTTCCAGCGTTTTTTTTAATTTTTTTTTATGTAAAATAATTTCTTTTATTATTAATAATAAATAAAATATTTTTTTTTTTAGTAGTAATTATATTTTATTAAAAAAAAGAAAGTTTTTTTTGCGGACATTCCGCAAATCCGCAAATATTCCGCAAATCCTCAAAGTACCGCAATTCAATTGCGGAATATTTGAGGTACTTTGCGATATTTGCGGATTTGCGGAATATTTGCGGGATTGCGGATAATTGCGGATTTGCGGATTTGCGGATTTTTAGATTTAAAAATCCGCAATGTTCTGCAATACCGTAAATCGCAATTATTCCACAATTACATATTTGCGGCACCATCCTTACCTTGTGGGCAGACCATAAACCACAATCATTTTTAACGACATGCGGTGCTAGCGCGTTTAAAATTATACAAACAAGTAAAGGTAAGAGGAAGCTCGTAGGATATTTCGAGAATTGGGAGGCTACACTCAAAGCCTAGGAACTCCGCAAGCTTTCTGGGAGAATTCTCTGGAGTTGAAATGGTGTCAACACTCCTTACCTACCTTGAAGAAAGCACTAATCAAACTAAAGGCTAAGAATGTTCCTGACAAGAAGCCCAGAAAATCTGCGCAACAGTCTGGTAATGTTAACCTTAAGAAGAAGGACCAGAAATCCTCGACTAGTGCTAAAAAGCAAGCCAAATCTACTAAAGACCCGTTGAAGGATCCCAAATCCCAGAGAAATTTTATCCTTACTGCGAAAACTAGTATAGCAATTTCATTCAGTTAACGCTGGCGATTCTTTCTTTTTTTCTTAAAGATTTAGTAGTTATAAGAATAATAGATTTTATTCAGAATAGGCAGAATTAATTTTCTCTTTTTTTTTGACTGGGAACTCTCGCTAAATTAGTGTTTGAGTGTCTTTTTGTTCTATTTAGTTCGTAGCTTGAGTTGCGGCTAAGCCTGCGTTCCTTGTGGAGCGAGGCTAGGTGATCCCTTCAATTTGTTTGAGAGGTTAGGTTAATCTTTAGCTTGGAATAATAGTTTACTTTGTTTGTACCTGTTCCTATGTATAGTGCAACCCCAGTACTAGTCTTTATTTAAAAATAAAAATAAAAATAAAATAAAAATAAAATTCGGCATATTAATATATCCTTAAATTCTATCAATATATATGTCCTATATTAAATTTTAATTATACCAATTTTTATTAAAATCAGATTATTATTGGCTAACTTTTATATTTAACAACTTATTAATTTAATGTGATCAATACATTTTTTTGATATAAATGTTTGGTGAATTCAAAATTCTACATAATAATTATAACTCAAACTTTCCAAATTAATAAATAGCAACTTGATATACTTGTATTCAAAATTTTACTGAATATGGATGTAAAATAAAGAACTTTAATATATATCATCTGTGTAAAATTAAAATCGAACATAATTCTTATAAAAAAAATGCAAATAATTTAACTTATATATAAACTAGGCGGACGTTTTTATATTCACTTTAAAGAATAGACCAAGACCTATCCAACAAATTAAAAATTACTTTGGTTGAATCATTGGTTGATGAATAAATGCATTCAACACATTTATTCCTAATTATGAATTTGATTGTCAACATTTCTATATGTAGTGAATCAATCGGAAAGATCTTTGATTCCAAAATTAGAGTGTGATTTAATCTTTTAAAATGTAAAATTATTTGTTTAGCCAATATAAATTTCTTACCAATAAGTTATTTTTAAGATTTTGTATTATATTTAAAGGAATGAAAAAGAGTCATTCACTATTCAAAGAAAATAAAATAATAGATAGATCAGTTTCTAACAGAGAAAAATTATGTAAATAATTTATTATAAAACCCAAAAAATTTGTTTTTCAAGAAGTTGTTAAATATACAAAGAAAAGAGCTTCTTTAAAAGGGTTCTTCCATCATAAATTTCAATAAACATATAGTAGATTAAAAAGCTTAAGTAAAAACAAACCTTTGAATATGTCTGTTTCCATTGTTGTAAATAGATCTCATATTTCTTTGTTTCTTCAGCTTATTACAATTCGAAAGAAAATGTACTATGCTTATTTTCGTTTTATAAGAAGTTTTCAAGTGTTTATAACTTCTGGATTCCGTCTCCAATAGCCAGATTCCTTTGTAATACGTTTAAACATAACCTGAAGAATTGATTTTTTTTATCTTCCTTTGCTATTAAATTTTTTGTGGCACAATTAAAATAAATTAGTACAATTATCATATGCCGATACATTTGATATCCAGCCAATAAAATACATATCTATGTAACAAACAATTACGTCAGTGTTATGACTGTTATGTCATTTAAAATTACTTGAAAACTTGATGATTTACTTAAATTTTATTTGTTATTTAAGTAAAAATCACATTTGCCAATCATCATGTGATTATTCAAAAATCGGAAAGCCTGCTATCTGCTTCGTCTTTTTGGGTAAACCAATTTAATACTGAGAAAACACACTCACAGCTTGCACTATGAGGAACAATAGAAAGAATATATAAAGCCAATTCTTGCAAATAATGATTGAGTTGGAAGTTCGTCAATATAAGAATCATCATAATTATTCATTTGAACAGCAAGTGTAAATGCTAATTTTGATCTTCTGCCCATTTTTGACCATAAGGCTAAAGCTTTCTTTTGGATTAATTGATAGGTCTCAGGTATAAATCCTTTTCCGCGAAATTTTGGATTCAAAAAATATGCTAGTAAATATAATTCATGATCAAACTGCTTCCATTTATTATTATAAAATTGAATGCATTTTTGCCAAAACTCTTTTAATTCTTTAGTACTTTCAGTAGGTAAAGCCTTGATAGCAGTAGCCATTCAAAAAAACATCAGCCATAGTTGCATTTTTACCTTCAATACTCTTCACTAAAACTCCGCATGAGCCGAGCCGACTCGTGAGCTGGCTCGAGCTTTTCAAGCTGAGCCGAACTGAGCCATGATTAAATTGGCTCAGTGGCTCGTGAGCCAGCTCGAAAAGAGCTCGAGCTGAGTGGTAATAGGCTCAGCTCAAAAAGCTCAAGCCGGTAATAAGCTCAGCTCAAAAGGCTCGAGCTGGCTTGTAAAATATCGAAAAAAACGTTGTGAAACATTTTTTTCTTAAATATATTATTACGAAAAAATGTTTCGCAACGTTTTTTTTCGATATTTTAATAAAAAACGTTGCAAAAACGTTTTTTCAAAATATTATATTTAAAAAAAACGTTTCACAACGTTTTTTTCAATATTTTTAATAAAAAAACGTTGCGAAAACGTTTTTTATTAATAATATATTTAAAAAAAATGTTTCGCAACATTTTTTTTCAATATTTTAATTAAAAAACGGCGCGAAACATTTTTTCGTAATAATATATTTAAGAAAAAAACGTTTCGCAACATTTTTTTTCGATATTTTAATAAAAAACGTTGCGAAAATGTTTTTTCAAAATATTATATTTAAAAAAAAACGTTTGACAACGTTTTTCGATATTTTTAATAAAAAAACGTTGTGAAAATGTTCTTTATTAATAATATATTTTAAAAAAAACGTTTCGCAACATTTTTTTTCAATGTTTTAATAAAAAACGTTGCGAAACATTTTTCTGAAGATAAAGCTCAAGCCTAGCTTGGCTCGAGCCAGGTTTTTAATGGCTTGGCTCAGCTCACTTTAGCTTGAGCCGAAATTTTTTATGGCTCGCTCATTCCGGCTCAGGCCAGAATTTTTTTTTCAAGCCAAGCCGAGCCAGACTGTGGCTCGGCTCAAGCCGGCTTGTGCGGAGCTTTACTCTTCACAGCATTTTTTTTCAGGTTCTAAAATAGCTGTAAAACTTTCAATATTCAACCAAAAATTTCAATTATTTACTAAATTTCGTAAAGTTTGATTCATTGCTTTAGAATCAGCAATTAACATCTAAAAATATAATAATAAAATATTTAATAATTTGACATTAACTTAGGGCGATGACATTTATTATGTAATATTTTAGGGGGTGGGGGGTCGCGAAAAATCTTATGTTATACATATTAATATTTATCACATGATATAATCAACCTATATAACCGATTTAGTGGCTTAAAAATTTATTAATCATTTGTGTTATTTTGGTTTCCCACGTTAAACTTTAGGAAAAAATAAAATGAATTTTATTTTTATATGTATACAAATGCATACAATACATATAATAATAGGATAATAGGGAAATTAAGTTAATATACAATCATTCATTATCTGATATATATTCCCTTAAATTCATTTTGTCAAAAAGAGGCCGCTTTTGTTGTGAAGGGAGGAGAGAGAAATCGTCAAGAGAATTTGAATTACACTTAGACTTTCCCTTAGGTCGTCCATGGCTGACTGGATGCATCGCTTTTTTATGCTTTGTCAAATAATTAAAAGTTGGAAAGTATTTGTTGCACACCGAACGACAAAGGCGCGAATAGGTCATTTGGTCAATGGATGGGCAATGTGAATCGTACCCGGGAATTTTTAAGAGATCATAATATTCAAGGAGGTGTATGGGATTTGCGAAATGTCTGTCTTTAGCTTTCATAGTTGGAGGCAAAAAGCCATTATTCGAAAGAAGAAGATCCGTAGCTTCTTTTGCACGAGATGGTCCACAACAACTTGAATTTGTACAACGTTTAATATCAAGAGAATACTGACATAAATTACAATGATTTTCGATCCATGACCATGGCACAAAACATTCTGGTATGTCATTTTCTTTTTCTTGTTTCTTTTTTTGTTGTTTTTGCTCTTCTGCTTTTTCTTTATCCGTACCCTCAAACTCTATGTTTTCAAACGGGTTAGTAAGCTTCTCGACATACCGTGCATCAACACTTTTTCCAAAAATCAAATCTTTACGCCAAATATCGCAAAGTGATTCTCCAGCATATCAAAAATTTCGAAGGGCTAACTCTGGAACGATTACCTTGCCTTGTGT